AGTTCATGACTGGTTTCTTGTCAATGATCCTTTTGGAATATAGCTCATGTTTAAAAAACAAAAACAAAAAAAAAATGCAGAAACACACTATGAAGTCTGAAACACAATGCCTGTCTATGCTTATTTTTATGTCAAGCTGAAAACTCTAGGATATTTGTGGAAACATGATTTTTTTTTTGAGTTTCTATTCCCAGGATGGACTTCTCATAGTCCAACTTAAGAAATGCAGATAAAGCATTTTTCTGTAAATAAAATATCAATAGAAGTTGTAGCTAGTTTTAAACATGCTATATGTAATGCATAGACTAAGTCTGATCACAAAATCTTTACCTGATTTGTTATTTAGATGCACGCAAGTAAAATAACTGCCACCTATATTGGTTTATAACCAGTGCCTTACTGTCTCTCCAGTTGAACCATGACAATTGCAGCCCACCAGTCATTTACTTAATTTTCCTAAAGACCCAAAGCTGGATATCCATATTTGTGTCATATTTGGCTACCTAAGTCTTTGGCTCCAGCCCTGGCAGTAAGTATGAGCTCCTTATGCTGACTGGGAGATCAAAAATATCTAATCCTAATACACATAAAACAAAAACACATAGCCACTAACACACAACACTAATTTACCACACACAATACTCACAGAACAGAGCATCCTGCCTAGACCCGTCTCTTTAATGACTAGTCTGGGCCTGTTGATAGCCATTCTGAGCTAACTCTGAAATAATAGTCATACAGTACAATATAAATTCATTTATTTCAAGTTACTTGACATCTTCTCCATGTCTTGCTTTTACCCATTCAATAAAATGTTGTATATGTTTGTTTTTTCAGGCTTTTCACAGATGAACATTATATGTTCTATTATATCCCTCAACATGTCTGGGCACTACATAGGTTTTACCATATTATACAGGGGTTTTGCTGGGGTAAAAACACACTCGGGGCTTAAGCCCAAAAGTAACTTCCCAAGGTGCCACATCTAGCAACAACACATACACACACACAGATAGGCACACACAGGGACATGGATAGGAATGCACAGATGTGGACAGTCACAGACACACACAGACAAATATATATAGGCACATAAAGACAAGCCACTTGTGTTTTCTTCTCTTTTCCACACTTCTCACACCTGTTGTCCCCATCCATCCCACATTTCTCAACCTTGTTGTCCCACTCTATCCCACATCTTAACCCTAGGATGTCACCTTAAATCCCATGCTACCCACCGATCATGAGCCCCTCTATCTCACACAATGGTAAGGTAGCCTTTGAGGTCTTCCTAAATATAAAGCTCAGTGTAACCATCACCTCACTCCCCAAAACTGTGTTTTGAAATCACTGAAGTTCAGACACTACAATCATTTCCTGGACCTTTAGTGATTGCAAAGCATTGCTGTACAAGGCCTTCAAGTCCATGATGGGTCCAGGGACTTGGTACCCTTGGCTAATAGTAATTATATTAATAGTATAGACCCAGACATTTTTAAATGTACACTTGGGGCTCTTGCTCTTATATGTAATGTATTTCTATCAACAAATGTAATACTCATATCATGCATTGAAAAAAAGGTGCCTGTTCTTAAGAGTGCTCAGAACAACAGTTTTTTTTTTTTCCCCATTAGATATTTAAATAAGCAACCAGGCAGGGACTGAGTATTGTCAGCTGCAATAGAATTAGTTACCATCTGTTTAGTAATGTGATATTTGCCTTTTTCATTAAGCTCTTTGATGTTGCTCTGGATATGGTTACTGTGTGGCCAGATTAAAATTTTACTGAGCTCAACCTAAGTCTTTTATAAATGTATTATTTTGAATGCATGCTGGGAACAGCAGTCTAAAAACTACACATATCAAATGATTCAAAGATGTGGTCTAACTACACAGAAATGTAAAATATATCTTCTGATGTCCAGTGTTAAAACAAATAAATAATCTACTTGATAAGATGTGTAACTTGTGTGCAGCAGTGTTCATTATAATGCATCAAAAGATATACTGTGTATAAATAAGAAATAACTTGTTCTTTAGGTAGTATTTTTGTCATCCCAGTTCCTATTTTGAAAATGAATAAAGTATAGACCATTTATGTTTGATTCTTTTAATTTTTTTATAGGTGCTTTGGAGATTTTTATGGCTATATATACATTAAAACATTATGCGTGTTCAATTGAGGGAAGTGTAGCAGGTTTACAGTTTATCCTTATGGAAAAAGGAAAGGCCTGGAAAAATAAAATAAAATATGACATTTCAAAATTATTACATTTTCAAAACCATATCCATGTCCTAACACTTTCTCGAAGCTACCCTACAGGTGTTGCATTCAGTAGCACAAATAATACTTCTCTTCTCCCCATTATTGTCCTTAACCCACAATCTGGATATTCCACCAGGCCTAGGCCCAAATACCTTCAGGAGGATATGTCTGAAACCTCATACTCACAGAAATTAATGGCTATATGGATGCTGCTCCCTTCACCAGGGGAGGGCTGGCAGCCTTAGGCCTGGGGGGCAAAACCAGTCAAGTGGCCCATTGCACCACCAAATCAGTTCACCATCCATGCCCACCTTTTCCTGGTTTTATAACGGATATTGATGTTATGCTAATCAGTAGCTCTTTGCCTTACCCGCTCCTTCACGGCTCCAGACACTGCTTGTTGTGAGTGTGAGCCACTGTAAATTAGGGGCAGAGGGCACTTGCACTGCGGTAAAGACGGGGCTGGGCAGGAGGAGAGTGCAGTGCAATCAGTGCACTCCCCTCCTGTGGGTCACCAGTAGACAGGTGCACCTGCCCAGGATCAGAGCCGGCGCAAGGATTTTTGCCGCCCTAGACAAAATAAAAATTTGCTGCCCCCCCATGTGACATCACAATGCCCCACCCATATGAACTTACGCCAGTCCTGCACACAGTGTGTGTTTACGTTAAAAAGCCTGCAGGGACCAGCTATAGACACCAGAACCACTTCATTAAGCTATAGTGTCCCTTTAATGTGAGGTACATTATAGATTAGTGTCACTAATAATATACTAGATTGCCTACTTACAAGCAGATGAGGATGATGATGGGCTGCAGTTTGGCTCCACTGGTCTGGTGTAGAACAGGATCTCTGGAGGCTGTTTGCAACTGTGGTCACAAAATTCAATGTTCTGGGAGAATTGGAAGCAGCTCCATTTTTTGGGGCCCCTTACACAGCTCAAGGTCTGGGCCCCAGGGCCTGACGGTGAGTATGCCTATAAGGCCCACTCATAAGTTCCACCCACCCATGAGTTCGCTCACAGGGAGTGGAGTGTGTAGGGATGTGTTATGTGTTATTGTAGAGGATCTAATATGTGTGCTTATGGTATGTAGTGTATAGGGTTACCAGTTTGTGCAGGTGATGTAGTGTGTTTGTGTGTAGTGGAAGCAGTGTGTATTTGTGTATAAGGGATGTATTGTGTGTTTCTGGTTGTGTGTAAGGGATGCATTGTGTGAATCTGTGTTTTGTATGCATAAGGGATGCAAGGTGTGTGTCTGTATGTGTGTGCATTGAGTGTAAGAGATGCATTGTGTTTTTGTGTGTATGTAAGAAAAGAAGTGTGTGTGTTTGCATGTGTGTGTACGGGTTTGCATTGTCTGTTTCTGTGTATGTGTGCAAAGGATGCATTGTCTTTGTGTGTAAGGGTTGCATTGTGTGTGTGTGTGTAATGGATGCATTGTGTGTTTCTCTGTGTGTAAGGGAAGCATGTTGTGTTTTTGTGTATGTATAGGGATGCATTGTGTGTGTGTGCGCGCGCGTAGTGTGAAAGAGCTCCCTGTCTTGGCCCCTGTCCTATAGAGCTGCCCCTTCTGTCCCGTAGAGCTCTCCCCTGCACCTTAGTGGTCTCTCCTCTCCCCCACCCTCCCCTAGCGGTCTCTTCTCACACTCACCCACCCTCCCTGTGCTCTTCTCATCTCCCCCTCCACCCTCCCTGTGTTCTTCTCACTCCTCCCTCTATGTGTTCTCCTCACCCCCCCTGTGTTTGTCTTACCCCTCTCCTCCCTGTGTTCTTCTTACTTCCCTCCTTGGTCGACTTACTCCCCCACCTGTTCGTCTTACCCCCCTCCTCCCTGTGTTCTTCTTACTTCCCTCCTTGGTCGTCTTACTCCCCCACCTGTTCTTCTTACCCCCCTTCTTCTTCTTACCCCCCCCTTCTTCTTCTTAACCCTCCTACTTCTTCTTACCCCCCTTCTTCCTCTCCCTCCCCTCTTCTTATTCCCCCCCTTCTTATTCCCCCCTCCTCTCTTCTT